CCCTCCCGCCGCGATGCGAAGCACACGCTGTGGCAGGCAGATGATAGTATGACACAGACTTACATCCAGCGAGGGCTCCGGCATGTCGGGTGCTCCCTGTCCACCAGCCTGACCCTCTAAGGCTGAGGAGGGGTTAAAGGTCAGGTCACTGTGTGGATGGTTGCTAGAAGCGGCCGGGGGCGGCTGGCGGGGATGGCGGGGAGGGGGTCCCTGACTGGCTGCTGGGGTGAGGGACGTGCAAACCTTGCTGCATGGAAGTATGGGACTGATCAGTGCTGCCGGGATGAGGGATCTGCGGAGGAGGAAAAAAGCAGGAAAAGAAAGTGAGGCCACAAGGTACAGTGCTCGCGGTGCCTGACTCTGTAACTGCATGTTACAAAAAGAAATAACTGAAACAAATTTTAAGAAGGCACACACAACCAAAAAACCCCAAACCAAAAAACAAACAGAAATAAAAAAGCGCAATCGGAAAAGAAAACTCCATATCCCAGTGCCAGAGGAAGCGTTCAGCTGTCTGAAGGTTATCCGCATGGGGAGATAAACACTGGGTTTGTGCCATTGGTTTGCTTCCTTGTGATGTGGGAAACTGCGCTCCAGGCTGCAAACTAACCAACCCCAGAGAGGAGGGAAGGAGGCTTATGGGTGCTGCTCAGCATTAGCAAAGCAGATGTGTTAGCCCTAAGAAATTCCATGAACGAAGGGAGAATTTGTTGAATAACGATCCCTACGCCAGGAAACTCATTAACCGAGGAAATGCATTGTTTCTGCTGGGCTCCCATATGGGGTGGTTTCCCCACACCGCTGCCTATTCGTGTTCCAGCTCCTTGCAAACATCTCGCAGACCAGCCCTTCCCCACTCCTCCCCTCCTTTTCTTTACCGGATGCAGAGCCCCCTTTCAGGGCCGGAGGTTTTCGGGGCTGACACTGGCAACAAACCCCAGGCTGGCTCAGCCCGTCAGCAGAGCTCTGCAAACCGGCGGAGCGCAAGGACAACGCGCCACCCGGCACACCCCTGCTGTGGACCCATGCCGTGGGAACGTTCTCGAGCAAAAGCTTGGTGTTTCTCAGGTCTTCCGTAGGGAATAAATACCCAACCACAAGCATCTCCCAGACCCTGTTAGGGAAGAACAGGGGAAAAGTCTTTCTCACACGACAGAGAAGCAACAAAAACGCACAAGCCCAGGTCTGCCGCCCGCTGCGGGTCGCATTTAATGCTAGTGGAGTCTTTGGGGCTGCACCTTGATGCCACAAGCAAGAAGTGTCTGAACGCTTCCCAGCCAGATGCCTCATGTTAACTGGGTATATGGAGAAGCAAAAAATGTAAACATTTTTTGAGGAATGCGACATATTGCCACAAAGTGGAGCTGAAATAAAAGAACAGATACACAGAACAACAGCATGAAATTCATCCAGCCAAGCCAACAGAAACCAGCAAAATGCCATGTCAGCATTGACCCTTTCATCATCACAGTAAACTGCGAGGTTATTTTAGCCTTAGTCTTCAGTTTTGGAAAGCAAAAGGGAGGGTATTACAAAACTTAATAAAAATGTTCCCACAAAATTGAAAAATTACAGAAACAAGCATTAAGAAAATACATTTCACCACTCATGAACACTGAAACCTGAATACTGATCCACTGGGACCATCATACTCAGCTACACGAGGTCCTTTTCAGTACTTTGGTAGCATGAAGTTGGTGGAAATGAGCAGGACTCACCCCGTAACACCACCTCTGGTCCTCGCTCCCACATGAGAGTGTAAAGTAACTCTTAGGAGTAGTGGCACACACTCTTCTCTCCACTAGAGCCCCAGTTTGACTACTCGGAATGTGTTCTGCAGCACCAGTGCTGTTACCGTGGGGGCGAACGTGTACGAAACCTGCCCACACACCACACCTTAACGTAAATGAACCTGCAGCCTGAACACTGCCAAAGTCCGAGGGAGAGCAGGTGTCTATCCAGATAGTACTGTCTCCCTCCTTAGTCACTGAGGACACCTGCAACAGGAAGTGCGGGAACTAGGAAAGCTGAGTAGTAACAAAGTGGAAAAAGCAATTTAAGGCAGCGTTGTTGAAGTGGGAAAGCAGTTTCCGGAAGAAAACAAAACAAAACAGGATTATCTTGAATAGCCTCTTAAATTTATCCCTGAACACACAAAGCAAGAGTCACAGTGGCATATTTATATCAGTAATTATTCAAACCAAGAGGCATTTTTATCTTCTCAGACATATTTCAAAACAAATAAGCAGGTTAGAAATTCTACATTATGTCACACAGGCAACCATTTCACATAGATAAATATTCAGTTTATAAGGCAGTATCTTGGGCCCTGGGATAACGCTGGATAGGGAACAACGGTTCATTGTAAGACTGCAGGCCACCCTACTCTGAACCACCTGGCTCCAGCAGCCTACCTGTGAGAAAGCAAAACACTCAGGACTTCAGCATGTCCCTCTCTGCATTCCGCATCTGCAAAAACCTCCGGAGCAGTACGCCTGGTGCGTGGTCAGCTCGGCTCTGCAACTCCCGTCCTTGTTTTACAAACCATAACCCACCCTCTGAACGCCGAGGCTAATAAAGCTGCTTTGCTTACATCGCAAGGTAACTCCAGAGTCGGTTTTAGGAGCGTAAACTTTGGCACTCTTAAAACATTTACAGTCTATAAAAGCAAAGCTTGTAGCAGGCACAAGTGCATCTTCAGCTTAACAGCTGGGAACACCACAACTCCTGAAAACCCAGCCGTGACCTCTAGGAGTGCCGCGACGTACAGCTACGGAGCAACGGGTGCCAGCTGCACAACAGCACAGAGCAGCACCCGCCTTGCGTCTCGGGAGAAAACCGACCGCCACCACAGGGATCAGCAGCTGAAGTCGATGGTTCCTCTCTCTCCCCACTACTGAGGTCATGGTTTTACCAACTCCTCGGCTGGGGCAGCTGGCTGAACCACTGAAAGATGCCACCCTGCCCTGCTGCTGTTCTCGGCCACTTTCCCACCCATGCCTTTGTCATCGGGTGCGTCCTTCCAGACAGGCAGTGAACTCATCTGGGGAAATGACAGGGATCAAAGCTAAACGTTCCTTCCCCACTCTGACTTAGTTTTCAATCACTTCGGTACCAGCTCACTTCACAGCTGCAGTAACACTCGTGCTGGTGTGAGAGAGGCAAAGTGAAAACAGAAACAAGAGCGATGGCTTTTTACAGCGGCACCAGCTCCTGTGACCTCACTATGGAGCGATCATCCATTGCCTGGTCACAAACCGCTCGTCACATGCTCCGCAGCCAGCGCTAGGCTAGAGCTAGCTCCGAGCTCACCGCTGCCCGAAACCTGTTCACAGCTCCTGCGCACACACGCCACGCGACGGCGGCAGCACGCCGTAGCGATCCTGCGCTGACACGGGAGCACCTGTTCCACAGTTCACACCACACTGCACGCCGGGGAGGAGGTGTTCCTTCCAGCCACCTTTCAGGTCTTGGTTTTCCCTTCTTCCTCAGGAGCGGACCAGCAGTGTTGCGAGAAGGTAGTTGTGATGATCCAGCCCTGGTTACCCAGCCCTGCCTGCGCTGGGCAAACACACCTGCAGCTCCTGTAGCGACCTACACAGCACATCTGGAGGGATCAACTTCCTCTGCCCCCCACTATGTAAGGGCCGCCACGTTAAAATAGGAAAACTAGGAGCTTCCTCACCAGCATTCAGCTCCAGTTAGAGACAGATCTTGGGTCTGAAAGGACCAAACATCTGATCCCAACTCCCCTTGTAAACACAGGACGGTCAAAGTGAACAGCAGATGAAAACAAACTACACCCTGAACGCGTAAAACCGAAAGCCAGACAAGAGCACAGGCAACATCTTAAGGCCTCAGTCCGGTTACGCAGTGCGCGTTAGTTATTTCTGGACAGACGTGTCTCTCCAAAGACATGCAGCTACACAGTTTAGGAATGTGTTCATGGCATGCATTTCTCCCAAAGCAGTCATTTGAAAAGCTGCCTTTCCTGAGTGTCTGCTACAGACAAACAGTTCGTTTTTGAGAGAGGAGAAAGGAAGAAGGAAAAAAAGAGAGAAAGAGGAAAGCAGAGACTTTATAATGCTGAACAAGCTTCCTGGGAGCACTGACAGTCCTCAAGTGTGGCCTGAGGAGTATGTGGGTACGCTGACAACGTCAATCCAATTCCCTTGTGCTAACGGACCTGGAGACTGACCCTCATTAGAGAAAATCAGCCACTGACATGAACTAGGTGGAAACGGCTTTAGCGCTGCTTCCCACTCCCAAACAGTACAGCTCACGTATCGTGACAGGTGAGGGAAAAGTGAGGCAAAGATTTACTTTATTTGCCAGCTATCATAAGCAAGTATCAGATTTGCTACCACAAATCTGTTAAGATTTGCCCAAATACCCTCTTCCAGCTCTGGAACACGCACAGCCTTGAGCAACTTTCACCTCTGCTACCACCTGTAAGCAGTCCCCGGTAGAGAAAGCCACAGACGGTTCTTCACTTCCACGTGCAACCACTTCATAGCCTCCTGCCTCAGAAATTACACTGGGGCAACTACTACAGCAAAGGCACAGCAGCGACCCAGGGAAGTCAAGAGGTAGAAGAGGAATTCTCTGTGCCTTCGATTCGAAGGAAAGCAGCTGCGCACGGTTCCCCTCACTAACATTTTAACAGTGTGTGCTGGGTTCTGATGCCAGCAGTTCAGACAGCTCTGTAAGCTGGGAGTGTGGAGTTCGTCAGTGTAAAACTAAGTTTACAGCGTGTTTGTTCTGCCCTTTATTAGCCTGTAAAGTGGTGCAGCCGTGACAGCTTCTGGACTCTTCCTTTGCAGACAGTTCTGTTACTTGGGCTCTCTCCAAGCTATACTAAGAACTCTCTCTCCGCTCTCTTCCTATTTCTCACCACCCCCCTTGGAAAACCCACTGCCAGCTAGAGGAGGCATTGACTGAGCAGGCTGTTGCGGAGCATCTGCTACCCCATTTCCTCATTACATTCTGAATTTGCACTTTCTAGTAGTCACTGAAGACACAGCACAGATGACTTGTCAAGTTAAACATCCTCCCTGTGCAGGAACAGCACACTGTAAAGCCCCTGCCCTGTAATGTAAATGAACACAAACCGCCCCTCCGCACAGAGTTAAAACAGACAACTAGCCATGCCTACGAGCTAAGTGCTGCTGGGAGCTTGTCCATCACCAGCTGCTGTGGTACTGCGTTTCCTGAGGTACGTGAAGTTCTGGGTATGAAACTCTGAGCAAGCTGCTTTCCCAACGCTCTGCCTCTCTGTCTGAGACCCGAGGAATCTCCATTTTTAGGTCTCCTAAATCGATACACTCAGACCAATGCCAGCATCTCTCCTTGAAACCTATGGGCTTGTCCTATTCCCAACAGCTTAAAGGTGACTTTCAGGCTATTTGGGTGGAGTTCCCCCTCAAAATGCTTCGATGCAGATTTTGCCCTCAGGGACAAAGCCAGGGAAGATCCTGTCCCTGCCTGGAAGCCAGTCCACGTCTCGCTGTAAGGAGCGGTCTGCTGGAGAGGAACACGCGCAGAGGCTGCTGGCCTAGGGAAGGAAGTCAGGTTGCTCCCGCTGTCCGAGCAAAGCACAACGACCAACACAAGCACACCCAGCCAGGATGTCTCTTTCCCATTAACAAGCTTAAATGACAGTTCAAAAAGCTTAGAAATGCTTCTCCAAAAACTCAAAAAGGCCAGAAACTAAAAATGGCAATTTTGGCATTTCTCAGGACTACTCTACTTCACAAACTTCCCAAGTGAGGTAAAAACAGTTCAGAAGGCAAGTGTGTTAGCTGGATGAGAGCTCCTTACCCCCACAAAGGAACACCTAGGTCCACAGCACCATTACTTACAGATTCCTGCATGGGGTGACTGAGAGGTTTGTCGAGAGCTGCCATGCTGCTCGGCATGTCTGGGGGATGTGACAGCTGCGGCCCATGCATGAAGTCGTTCATCGACGTGCCGCCGGGATTCCCGTGCGGGAAGTCAAAATTGCCGTGACCTTGGTAACTGTTGCCTAGAAGAGAAACAGACGTGATATGAAAGAAGCTAGTTGTTTCCCAAGGTTGTCCTCTCGGAGTGTCTCGCAAAAGCTGCGCAGGACAGCATCCTCCCTGCACAGAACACGGCAGCTGCAACGCCGGATGGGACAGCACGTGCTCCTCCCTGCTGGAGCGAGCTGGAGGAACAGGGAGGGGAAAACAGCACTCAGCTTTCAAATACGGGCTGCTGTAATAACTCATCTGCTGGCATTTTGAAAAACTACTGTCAAGTCACCACATCAACGTAACCCAGCTGAGAAGCGAAAGGGATATTAAATTCTATCGCATATTTGCACCTGGAAGCACCTTGCTGCAACCGAGACTGCCCAAGTCCAACATTATTCATACAACACCCGAGTTATTGACGTCTGCGCTTCCCTGCGCTCAGTAAGACTGTGACATTGCTTCCCTTTCTGATGAACCTGGCACAGCGGTATCAGGATGGTGCCACCGTGCCAGTTCAGAGCGCAGCATCTGGCTTACCCCTGCTTCTGCAGCATCAGTAGGCAACTTCCATTACAATAATGCAGAGGAGGCGTTCATGTCTAACTGAGGTTTGTGATGTAACTCTTCTTGCCCCCACAAAACCTGATAAAATTCACTTGACCGTCCGCAAATACATCAATCTTCTCCTCTTGGATCTACTCTTCTCATTTTCTGAGTTACAAACTGGTTGCCTGTGGCCTCTGTTTCAGCATGTGGATGTGCATGCTTGTAATGAGAAACTAGTGAATTTATGAAATCCACCTAACTTCAGCCTGAAACGATGTTCTCCAAAGCAGCAAAATTCCACACCAACGCAGAATACATGCTCTGGGTTTACCCCCGACACATATGCCATCTAGCTTGGAGGACTTGTCTGCCCGGCAAGTACTGTATGACCACAGTCGGTATGTTCTGGTCTGTCTCACCTCAGCCCAGTGATCCTCACTGCGACTCCAAAGCGGGTGTGTATCCCAACACAGGGCTTTTACTCTCTGTATTTTTTCTGTCCAGATCCCTCCGTTAACACCTCCAACTGAGATACCAACCCTGGTGGCTCATTTGCTACGAAGAGCAAAAGCAGAACTCAAGCCACGCAACTATTTCATACAAGCAACTGAGTTGGATGATACTGAGCTCTGACATAACAGAACAACTTTGGAGCTTGCTCGGGGAGCCTGCAGTTCATCAGCTGCTGAAGTACAGCAGCTTCAAATGTTCACGTCAAGACGGGAGTCTGACAAACTGAAGTAGCTGCATCACTTGCTTTAGCACAGCCTCACAAGCAGGAGGTTAATCTCAGAGGAATAGAAGTCATTAGCCATGTAAGAGTATTTCTTACAGAAGTCAGGACTTTGATCTACCATGTAAATACTGCAGAGCCTTACTAATTCTCATTTTGTTAATCTGCAAACTGCATGAGTCTCACAGAATACAGCTGCTCTTGCCTTGCTTCTCGGGAAAGATTTAATAGCAAGGAGCTGAAATTAGGTCTTGTATTGCTGAGTATTTGTTATATTTGCAAATTACACTTTGGTATGCTTACTGTCAAACCCAAATAAAGCCACATAAACCACAGTAGTACTACTACTGCTGTGCTCTAGAGCACTGTTAATCAGAGGACGTTGCCTAATTCTGAACACTAAGTTTCAGTGCACGTATTGATGGAGAACGAAGATGCAGGGCAGCATGCCGTTCTCTGGAGCAAGAGCTGTGACTGTAAAGACATTAGGGTAACCTGGCGCACTGTCCTACTGCAGGGACAGGAGAGCGTGGGCTTCACCTGCCACTGACGAGTCAGGGCTCCGAGAAGCAATGACTCCCTCTACCTCTGTCACAGGATCCACAGGGAAAAGCAGGGAAATAACAGTCCAGGCAGTAATCACTACACAAACCCTAAACCCCACCTTACGTGACTACCCGCCCCTGATTACGAGCTAGAAAGACGGCGGAGAAGAGACGGCTCTGTTCTCGTGCTCTGACTGCACTTCACTCCTACTCAACGAGTGAAAATTTGTGATTCAGCGCTCTTGGCTTTGTTATAGTAATCAGTCATCTGTTTGAAAACCTAAAAACTTTTATCATCTGTCATCAGTTTTGCAGTCATTGGAGCAAATTAACCATATTTTGCATGCAATCTATATTTTTCTTCAAACGCCTGCAAAAAGCACATATATCACCTTGTAATCAATTTGGGGATTCTGATGGTGTGAACAGTTGGTCTTTTCCGAGAGCTGAACTGAGTCATACCACATTACTTCCAAAAGAATCAGTCTCTGGTTTCATATTTTCAAAATTGTCAGTATAATTGAGTTATTCACAATATACCCGTCATTTGAATACGTGTCTCCACTGCCTGCATTTAGTTCCCTGTTTCTCAGTCCGGCAGCACATGGGTAGGGGAATTTTCTAATGCAAAGGTGTTTGCAAAGGAGTGAAAATTTCTGCAGGAGTCGTCCACTTCCTGGGTGGCCCACCCAACGTCACCCGCCTGGCCACATCACATTTCATGGCCCAGGCAGCAGGGTTAATGGGTCAGGCGTGCTACTCTAGCTCCTGTAGCACCAGGAGCCTTCCCTTCAGTGGGAGGGGAACAGAGGGAAGATGGGCAGAAAAATGAGGAAGGATGTACATTGTGGCCGGCCATGAATATACAAGGCAACACACAGTGTGTGTTGATTCAGGGAGGGCTGCGTGGCAGTAAATACAACAAGCACCAGTCTCCTTACTGAAACCTATTTTCCTCGAACAGACTGATCTTAGATGCAAAGCCCAGTGCAGAATTTCAGGACTGCAGCCCCACAGTTTGCTGGTGCGCAACGCTGTAACGCTAACCTTGGTTGCCGTATTCAGCGGAGTTGTTGCCTCCTGGAGGAGGGGGTAGCGATGGGTAAGGTGATGGGCCAGGACCCAGAGCTGCAATCATCTCCATCACATTTGGCATGATCATCTGGCTTGGACTCATGGTCTTAAATCTTTTGGAGGGAATGCCATCTGGGTCATCTTTGATGTGAATGTCTGACTTTATAGGGACCGGCCTCCAGCTGCAAGTTGGGTCAATGGTAACTTCTTCAAACTCTGAGCTGTAAAGTAACGTGAAAATTTTAGCACATTAATTAATTATATATGAAACGAAATCCAAACGTATCTGCGTGGTCTGCCACACGTGAATCAGAGGGATTACTCCTAAACATGAGAAAGCACTCAATCCCCCATTCTCACCCTTCCCTCCGCTTCATCGGCGAGGCTGCCATCAACAGTAACCCAAGCAAGACCTAGTAAGTAGGTGGAAACGGATTCACCGTATCATTAGCTCTACCAAGGAGCCAGGAAATAGAGTATTTGCATTTGGCCACGAAGATCGACTTTGGCATGACTACCTCAACACTCACTGACGTACCCCCTAGCTGCTGAGTCTTGGGTATCAGAAATTAGTAAGTTCACTTACTTTTGTATAGCGTTCAGAATACCCCACATATACTGGTCAACCTCCAATCCCTCCAGCACAGCGGTTTTACTGGAAAGTAAAAAAAAAAACACCTCATGTTAGTACATCGCTACACATGTGTCAAAGAGGGCAGGAAAAAGGACAGGTTAGTGATGAAATCAGCAGGCTGGGATCCACCAACTCACTATCTGTAACACGTAGTTTAGGAATGATTCGGGGCAAACGGCTCCAGTTCTACACCCGCATATACCAGGACAACAGTACTCTACATCACAAGGATAAGGACACATCTACCTGTGTGTGTCCACAAGCTGTTCATATCCTTTACATTATTTTTTTAGTGAAATATCTTGTGAATTTAAAGGGTTTTCAAACACAGCAGATTTCTCCCGTGAACATCAGTTAGCACCCGTTTTCATTTTTTTTTACAGACTGGATTTTTTTTCTGAGTTACAGTAACCACCTATTATACCTATTTTACTTAAGAACAGCACAGATGGGGACAGAACCAAACAAAACAGGAAATGATTTAGTTATGTAGGCACTTAGATCTGAATGCAGATTGCTCATACTCAGAGAAACGAGACCAAATATTTGGCCTGGATGTATGAATACATCAAGTAAGCAGCAAGATGTTCGATTCTTGTCATATTTGTAGCCTAACTTAGAAGGCAGAACAGATTCAGGTAGCTCAGAGAAAGCACCTGCACTTCAGGACATGTATCAGTCATGGAGAGTCATCTGAACAAGCTCCCTTCAAGTCTGCAATGTCCACGGAAGGGAAAACCTCCTGTTTATCCCTAACATCACTGGCGCAGCAGGGATTGAACTGGAGACTTGCAGAGACCAAGTACAAAGTGCTGCAGCTTCAGCCGCTTGGCCTGAAGAGCCCTGGCTCCTCAGCTGAGGCTGGACAGGCTGGTAACCCTGTGGGCTGGGCACAGTAGGTTACAGACACTGAGCTGGCCTCCAGACGTTCCGCGATTCCCTCTGCCCAGTTAAACCTAAGAATGGGCAGCCTGCAGCCGCTCCAAAGCTTCCTGTTCCATTTCTTCTGCAGCATACTAGCTGTCTGGTCAAAACATCAGGCTGAAAGCAATCACTCCCAACTTCTGCTCCTTGGAAATCTTTTACCTTTTTTAACATCAGCCTTACTCTGGACGAGAATCCTTCCTGTTCAGTTTGCGCTTTATGTTGAATTTGACCTCTGAGGATCCAACTTCATTTCCTACCTAATTACTGGGAAATGCTGCAGCATCTAAAATTCCCCCTCTCCTTCACACTGCCCTTAACGGCGTGTCTGTGTGACACAAAGCACAGCACCCAGGGCAGTTATTTAGCACCCTTATTTCAGCTGGACACTGAACACTTCATTATCTACATATTTGAAGTTCAGTGATTTGGGCATTACAACATTCCAATTATACACAAACAGCTCTACAAAAGACCATCCGTTCTTTTGCCGTGGCATGCTGTTGTCTGCTCGATGCTTCTACTTCACACTCTCGGGGAAGACAAACTCCCAGTTCATTCATTTATGTAGGTACCTGTCTTATCCATGTAAAAATTTGAGCTCCTTTTGAACCCTACGCAACGCGCTGACAGCCTGTAACGAGAGCTCGCAGCATGGGTATTTTGCGAGGAAGCAGCTCTCATCATCTGTTTTTAAATTTCTCCTGAGCCAGGGTGTTCCCTCAGTTATGAACCACCCCAAGAATTCTCACTGGACTGCCTGCTACTAGGTAACACATAGACCTCACCTCCCAGCACCCCCTTTTCCTCCCCTCCGCGACCTGAAGCGTGATCTGAATGCGGTCAGATTCCACGCACACGGTGGCACTTACTTGCATACTGGACACCTCCAAGTCCCCCTCTCACAGTTCAGCTGCAGGTAAGATTCCAGATCAAAGCACTGGGTATCGGAAAGGGACAAAGAAGGAGAAAAGAGGAAATCAAAGGGAAGCACCGCATTACCTGAATCAGTCGGACAGAAGTTAAACTGCCGTGAAGAAAGCCTACTAGCACTGAAAGCTAAACCACCTATCTTACTTTCTCCCTCCACAATTAACATTACAAGGAGTTAATTGTTCTGGATGACAGACACAGAGAAATCCCATTTCACTAGGCTCTCTCCTGCCATAACCAAGCTAAAGGTACGGTAACAACACCCGGCTGAGGGAGTACTGCCAGGCCACCGGCACCTACTCACTTGTACATGCTTGCAGTCGTGACCCCGTGCTGGGAGCTGAATCCGCCGGAATGTGATCGGACACTTCAGAGACACCTTAATAGCAGTTTGCTCTACGCCATCTTCCCCATTTAGCGTCGCGTTGCCAGAGGAAGCTGCTACGCTACTGAAGTTTCTCTTTACTGTTTAGGAAGAAGGTACGTGTGAGTGTGAGAAAACACAAGTGTGCTGTAAATTCTAACACAGAAATCTGAAAGACCAATGCTTCAACCTGTAAAGGCCGATTTATCCACATGGGTGTCACTCTGCATAATTCAGAACATTCTCCCAAAGAGACAGACCACCACACACGCTTATCAGCTGTACCTCAACCAAGTAAAGTGCCACACAAGCACTTAGAGCAGCTCTAAACAAATAAAGACTCAACTTTCTGCATGGGGCTTTTAATTAAATCAAAACCAAATATAGGGGAAAAGCTGGAGAGTTTCTCCTGGAAGGGGAGAATCCTCATTAGGCACTAAGCTTGTGTCCTTGGTACTTTGTAATCCCCATGCAAATAGCCCTCAACGTTTGAGGACTGCCTCTATGCACATGATGTTCTGGAAGTCCCTGACAAGCACAGTCTGAGGTTTTCCATGCTCATCACAACAGCTCGTCACAGCTGAACACAGGCATTCCGGACAGACGCCACCCTTGCAAAATGACACTCACTCTTAGTGATGCAGTGCTCTGCTGGGAGGAGGCGCTTCTTTAGGAGACCTTGAAGTACGGAGCGCACTGATGGCCGGTGTACTAGCTGCAACACGAACAAGTGTGACTGAAAGAGAAGGCATTTCGTTACCAGGAGGCCCCAGCACAGGCGGTACGTACGCTAAACAGAGCTGCGTTCTTCCCTTGGAATCGTGGCTTCCCTAAGAGCCTGCCGCTTACACAGGAAGGCTGCTTCTGCTCTGCTGCGTGCACGCACTCCCCCCAGGGATGTTCTACACGCTGCACACTATGTTCCTTCCATGCTCCAGGAGCACAATGGAATACAAGGGCTTTCAAAAAAAGCAAAGGTTTCCTGCATTTTCTCCCTCCTTAATATTCAGAATAGATAGTGCTGCCGCAGTCATCTGACATCAGGGTTTATTTTTAAGCCCCTGGATTCTCTGACACAGCCTAGCCTGCCTACCTGCCTGCCCTCAGACTACGTCGGAAGTTGCAAAAACCATTTGTTACTGATTTGTCTGGAACCAAGCGAACCTTCTTCCCCAACACAGAACTCATTGTGGATTCACGGGAAGCTGCCCCTGCTCTGAGCCAGCAGACAAATGACATGATGTGGAGAAGCGTCAGTGTGAAGCACAGCAAAACGGGTGGATGGCTTCTTGTCGAAGCGCCTCAAACTGTGAGCCTGGGAGAGGCAGCAGCGGGCTCTCTCATCAGTGACGACCCAACAGCCAAAAGCTCAGCCTGTGTCTGCACAACAGTCCGCACTGAAAATGCAGTGCTCATCCCCCGGAGTAACTAAACCACGGAGAAGGAGAAAGACGAAGTTGCATGGCCTGGACTGCATCATGAAATGCAAGTTTTTCATCTGAAAAGCTATTTGGAAAATCACCATCACCACCACCGATTACGGTGTGGACGTCCTCCTGTCAAAGCAAACAGCAAACGCAGTTTAACACCCTAATTAAATTAAATTAAGTTAAATTAGTACCGGTCAGCGGTCTGCATCACAATAACCATTGTTCCTTCCTTCCTTCTCCATTAATACACTTGAGCTGCCTCGAATCACCGGCACAGGCTAAACAGGTAGGGATCAAACTCCCTTCCTCTCCCAGACCACAAGCCTTCTCCGAGACATCGGAAGGACACCACTGCCTTCTGCAGTAATTCAGCAGCCAAGATTCCCACATCAGCGCTCCGACTGTGTCAACATCAGCAAACAAGCACCTCACCAGAAAAAGGCATGGAAAAAAATGAGAGCAGGGCTCTTTCAGCGAAGGCGACATTTGCAAACAGTACTAAACAGCCAGCTCAGCAGCAGCAGCTGCCCCCAGAGCTAGGTGTACTTACACAACAACATGCTGTGACCGTAATTTGAATCGTGTTTCTTCCAGGCTGGCAGACGTGCTTTAGGTGCAGAGGTTTATGAGATGTCTTGTTGTCGCCACGTTCGATGGTAAGTGGGGTTGCATTAACGCTGACCTGGACTGAAGCTGGCCAGTTTGTGTTCATTTGTCTGTCTTCATGGTGATAGCACTTGAACTGTAATTCCAAGTCAGACCTGTACAACAACCAATAAATCTTCCTTTAACTTTGCTTTCACATTGCTCAGGAAGGTTGTTTTGACGCTAGAAACGCTTTTTCTTTATCAGTCAGATTATTTTTCTGGAATTATTGCCAGGAAAGGATATAATATACTTTCTTCATAAAGCTCTTAAAAGAAGCAAGTCATGATGAATTAATGATGCAAGCATGCCGCAAAGCTGCTGTTAATATTTCACACTTATGAGGGATTTTCTAAGAGAACATCTCAAACCACTCTCCAAAACCAGACCATGGAATGATGCTGCCCAAAGAAAAATGTTAACGCCGGGGAGGTCCTTCCCATGGGTTAAGGGTTAGGAACAGGCAAGTGATACAGTGGTTGTGCTGGAAAGCTATGGATTCTTCACTGCCTCAGAGCGTTTGAATGAACCCTCGTCAGACAAAATACAGGTACCGCTAATGCTGCCTTGGAACAGGTACACCAGCTGAGATAAAGCGAACCCCGCATCTCACACCCTGTGTTTCTGTGATTCCAAATTAGCACAGCCGTGGATGAAATCTACCCAACTCAGACCTGCTTTCAGAGCATGAATTCCTCCCACCTCTCCACTAATAACGCCCACATGCTATTTAGCTACTCAAAAATTAGTTTTGTAACACCTTCAAAAAAGGAAGAGGCTGAGATGAAGTTAATCATAGTGGCTAAAGACTATGACTTCAGTTTCATACGTGGATGTTAACCTCGTGTTAAGAATAAGTCAGTCTAAGAAGAAATGTAAAAGAACATGAACTGAAATGTCAGGATTCTGCTGTTTCCGACAGCGTTAAGACAGGTGAATGATTATCTTTTATGCTTGAAAATCTAGGTGCTCATTTCTTCATCTTGCCTGAAAGAAGTTATCTTTCTAAGATCCATGAGGAGCAGCTCATTCAGGAGATCATCACCATGACTGCCATTTTCCTTATCCAAACCCAGAGATTTCAATTCTGACTTAACACCATCTTTTCTGGATTGCAAAGCATCAAGATTTAGCACTGGATAAACACATGGGTTTTTTTTAAATAGAAAGGTATAGAATACGAATTACCTGACCTTTCAACATAATCCATCTATATTGTGTTTCCAGGCTTTTTTCCAGTATTTTAGTAACAATTTTTTGGAAGCTCTCTCTTCAAGACCCACTGGAGACAGACCTCACAGCAACGCAGGCAGTCTCCCACACTCGGAGGGATGCAGGGCTTGGTACCTCCGCTATAAACTCCGGGCAGGTTGAGTGCGTCCCCGAGGACTCCCAGCAGGCTGCTGAATGTCAAAGCGGCGACAGAGCCCAGGGGACCCTCACGTTTGTAGCACGTGGCGCCGGCACCGTGGGAGGCTCTCGGTAACTGAGCAGTGCTAACACTGAACCAGCTTCAAGGAGACATTTTCCCTGCCTTCAACCTTTCTGGTTCTTGTAACCGTGAAAAGTTCCCAGCGGGGAGAAAAACAGTTGCATTGCTATTCATTATGTGCGTACACGTGAGAAGTTTTGCTGAATATTTTAACTGGCAGACAAATATTCAGAATTGGCTCGATTCCACCATTCTTTGTAAAACCAAAATCCATCCACACATGTGACTAATTCATTTTTCTGGAATCCGTCCAGCCCGAGTTAAATGTGAAATGACTTCATTACAGGGCTATCCGTTCTCCCCGCCATTAACAAGCTTTTCACAACAGTAGACCTGAGCACAGTTTACCTATGAGTCTTCATTAAAATAAGTTTAAATAAAGGCTATGTGTTCGGTGAGCTCAGGAAGAAAGAAAGAACAGATATTAAGAAACAGCCTCATGCCTCAGTGCAGCACTATAAATCTACTGAATGAGCCAGCACAATCCCCAGTAGTGATTACTTATTAATAAGAACCAGCAAATAACTGCCAAAACTCCCTCTGCTGCGAGTACTCCACGATAATGAAATGCAAGTAAGCAATAGCTGACCTCAAAGTTAGGTGTTAATTATTGGATGTGGTCTGCCTGCAATCTCCCTCCTCTCCAACCTCAGGGCAGGGAGTACCGTGGCAGCAAGGGCTCCTGCATCCCGCATTAAGCCTCAGCTTTACAGCCAGAGTCCGTCCCGGGGGCAGGGAACTGAGCACACCTCTCTGCCCCCCTCACACCATGAAAACGGAAGTCTCAGGTGGATTCCAGTGAATGGGAAGATGATCCCCACAGGGACAAAAGCTGAAGCTCTAAGTTATCACTCCCATTAAGGTCAGGGGGTATGTGGTCCAGGCTCAGGGAAGAGACCGACAAGATACGCTTGGGGTGCTGCACTGTACCATCTCGGCTGCTACAGAATCCCTGTAACCTGGAATGGCTTATGCTGATCCACATTAAATGCAGGGAAATACCACCTAGGAAAACTATTCCTCGGCTGGAAAGTAGCACTTGCTGTCACTGAAAGCCAGAAGCCTTTGAGTGTGGCAGGCGATGCTCAGTATTTCTGACCTGTCCTTACCTGGGGAGTTACGGTAGAGGGGCAACTTAGGAAGCTAGTTCCTAAAGTCTGTAGGATTTGAGCGCTCGTGTTTCCAAACGATTTTACCAAGCCTCTGAATCTGGTCCTGCACTAATGTGCTATTTTTCATTCTGCACCATTTAATTTAAGCATAAACTGTAACAGACCCACGTAGTTACTCCTGCAACTAACATTCTGCAGGCCACAAAGCCCCTAATCTTCAGTCTCCCAAAGGGAAGTTTGTACTGGTGTCAATCGTGCACGTCCCACGCCTGTGCCACCCAGAGAAAAGATGGAGCAGCTGCAGTGATTTTTTCAGACACCGCATGCCATGTGCTGTCAGCAAGGAGATGCAAGACAGATCAGGAAGCATTTTAGAACGTCTTGTCTCCGGAAAGCGACAGGTGAGAGTAGCTGTGAGTTTAAAGGGCGTTTTTCCTATCTAGGCCACATCAGACTCACGGCAAACCTAAACGAAGTTTGTCTGGCCTGCCACTCCTCCATCCCTGGGCGCAAGGCTTGCCCGCAGCACGGCTGAGCTTACCTCCACATCAGCGTCTGATGAACGGTTGGCCGCAAGTGAAAGACATGGTTACTGACTGCCAGGTTGTGCTCCAGCCGGAAGGGCTCCAGCACCACGCCATCTCTCACGGGAAACGTCAGACGCAGCTCATCATTGTGGTTGGCTGGGATCGAAGAGGGAGAGAAAGTGTGAACTTTCCCTTTAGCATCTGCGGTGCGATAATAATGTGTATATTTATACCGCATAGTAACAAATGGCACAGTGATCTGCTACTGGGTCTAACTTTGCAGGTTCATGAGCACAAAAAAGAAAATCACAAGTCACTACGTTATCGAACTGGTACAAGTGACAGGGCTCAAACTCAGAGCGACTGCCAACCCAAGTCTTCTACTCTCCCACACTTAACATTAGGACCTTAGCGTTTTGGCCACAACAAGAAACCAGGCATGGCAAGAATTCCCATTTTTTGTTACAGAATGGGTTCTGTGTCCAGGCTTACTCTCTTGGCAGAAGACTGACAACAAATCTCCCAATTATGGCAAACTGTGATAATGCTTATTTTCCCCGCTTTGCACTGGGATCAACATTACCCAATTAGTTCCAACAATTTCATCAGCTGAAACTATCCAACGACCAAAGTCACTGGTATTCAATTACTATCTGATCCCGTAACATGAGGTAACTTACACCTGCCCTATAAACTCCAAATGTCTTCAAATGCTGTGTTCTCGCCCAAATAACACTGCAGGCCACTTTCTTCTCCTTCATTTTTCAGCCATCCTGAACTCCGACCACCGGCTGCAAAGCGCTCATGCAGCGGCAGTTACTTGACAGAAAACATACAGGTTCCCCCAGTTCTCCGGTAACTGATGTCTCCTATTGCTCATCAGTCACTTCAAAACCTCCAACAGCTTGTGCAAGTATAGCGTCAGAGAGATCTTGTTATTCCTGCCCTGTTCCCTGCCAAATGTAGGTGTGACGTTGAGAGGCTTTGAAAGGAACATAGATCAATTTCTGGCATACTACTGAATATTCCTAAGGAGCCTGTATGGATCACAACTGAGACACCGCTATAAATATTCACGTGTGACGCTATTCCGCAGCGATGCTCAATGAATGGCGTTGCCCTTGAACAAAGCAGACCACAGTCAAAGTTCATACAGTAAACAAGCCTACCAAGCACGCACAACACAACCCAAAATCAGGTGTTTTATCCTCAGGAAGCATATCAAAGGAGCACTTCAGGAGTAAAATCCTTACATGTGTATCCTGGAAGAACTTTTCCGATCCTGTTTTAGGGAGGGGATAGCAATCTTTCTCTTTCCTGTCCACTGGCCCTAGTGAGCTGCACCGCGCATGCCCCCTGTCACGACCTGGCAGCCCCAGCCTCTCCCAGAGCAGCCACCAGAGCTGGCTTCCTGACTCCGCAACGTACGTGGCAGAGAACAGAGGGACATGAGCATTCTGTTTGCTACTCACTTGGAGGTGGTGGTAAAGCATTGATATTTGGTTTAATGTCAGGTGGGAATGGTGGTTTGACATCTTGGTTAGGTGACAGGTATGGAGGAATATTGCTCCCTGGAGTCATAGGTGGTGTGGGGTTTCCTGGAACAGGTGAATGAGGGTAATTTGCCACAGGTACAGGCCTTGATGGCTAGAAAATAAATAACATCACATTGTTACTGCAGTCTGAAACTCAGAATAATAAGCCTTGTGAACTGCACTGCTATCAAACACTGAGGACTACAAACACGGTGGGGAGGCCCCTCTGTCTCCAGAAGGACAAGTAACCACAGGACGTCCCATGAGGCCTTTGGGGAAGAGGCAGACTAGGAGAGCAAAGCAGGAACTGAAACCAGCAGACCAGCCAGCTTAATGCAGGCACTGACCAGACAGAAGCAAGGCTGCCAAGAGGGTGCTCGCCTTCCTCTGAATGCTCTCTCCCCAAAACCAGCCAGCCATTCGCTTCAGTTTTTCCACACCACCCTAACCCACCCATCTCTTTGGCTTCCTCCCAGACAGGCCCAGGGCACAAAAGCCTACGTGAAAAAGAAAACCCAAAGACACGCCATTAGAATGTCTGTGTCCCTTTTACTTCCATCTATCCTTTCTTCCACCCTTGTCCAACTCGTCTACTTGGAGTAAAAGCTCTGGGGGTCAGGGGATGTCTTTTATTCTGTGTACCTACAATCTGATTCTGTTCTTAGTTTGCTGAATAAGAAGAACTAAGAGAAAAAGGATAGTTAAACATAAACAGTAGCTGTAATATTACAACACCACTGGTTTTGTTTCTTGTAATTAAGGGGACAGTTGCAGTTAGAGAATAAACTAGCAACGAAGATGCCAAGGAAGCTGACGTGAAACAAAACTGCAATTGCACAGCACTCTCTTGCAATAGCTCGTGCGCCATAAGCACGTGGCCATGGGAACACCACAGGGTGAAAATCTGTACAGACAGACAAAGTATCAGGACTCCAAAAGTGATTCTGTACCCAAGTGCTGTGCTGCTAGCCTAGGATACTCAAAAGTACATGTGAGTGCTGCCTTCTGAAATCTTAAGCATTGACATTTCCAATGATCTTTGCTTTTTCTCTTTAACACACACAGTTACTACCTCCACAATCACTACAATCCAACACTTCAGGTCCCGTCTGTGGCAAACTAGCATTCTTCCCCTAGCCAAGTTAACCTCCTTTCTTAACAAGGTCTTTTCATTTCTGTTTCCAGAATGGTTGGTATTTAGATACAAAGTAGGAGATGCACTGGAAAGACCAAAGGTGCCCTGTTAGAACTATCCTGTACACAAAAAACTTTAACCCCATCTAAAATTTAGAATGTATTAAAAAAATCTGTCACAAGAAATTGACTGAGCTCTTCTGCTGTTACTTCAGCATAAATGACTGCACTGGAGTTACAATAGTTGAGGATCTGTCTCCTCCTCGTGTACTTCCTGGCAGCGTGCTGCAAAAGCTGCCATGATGCAACAGGCATCCTTTTGGGTACCACAGTGGACAGCCTGGTTGCATGCAGAAGAGATGCCGTATACATTAAAGGAGTTTGTTTTCCCTTTTTTTTCCAATGGTGTTTTCTGTCTGAATCACACCAGAACAATTCCAATTCAACACCAATGTGCAGCTTAGGTTCTTTCAGCCTGCATTCAAGATCAGAACGTAGTCCGGAGACTTAACAGCTCATGCTTCCAGAGCAGGTCAGCCCAGTGATGGTACTCCCCATTTTTACACTCACTGGAGTACCTGTGTGCCAAGGATCACTTCTGTGTGTGCTTCAAAGATGTTAAGCCTCAGCACAACTCAGTTTGGAGAACGCAAAGTGCTCAAGATGTATCCATAAAACAGGTTTCAGGCAACACTTTTAACATCTCTTAATTCTTGCCCAAAACAAGCAGCACAGAGGGAAAAGAAGGAGAAAAGGGGAGCGAGAGGTTGGACAAAGTCACGCAAACTTCATTTCAAAGATGAATTCTACAGCTGGAACAGCTTTTAAGTTTGGGCCAGCTTAATCCAAAAGTGGCCACTGTAGGTCTGAAACTGGGATGCCGCCATGTGGAACTTATTTATTAGAAATTTCCAAAGTTGTATTCCTGGAGGGTGCCATGAATAGGTGCAAATATTACACCTGAATCCCATTAGGTACTTCTTTTTACATGCTATTTTTTAAAGCAAAACCCGCATTTTCTTGTAAAAGCCTCTAATGAGCTGCAGGAACATTCCATTTTCTTTATGAACTGCTCTGAAGTTACAATGCAACTTGGTTGGCTGACTTGATTCTATGATATCCAAAACATCAGTAAAAAGACTGTGCTTCTTTGCTCTCTCCCTTGAATTACGTAGAAGCAGTAGCTGTGAAGTCATTAACGTGACTTTGTGCATAACCAGCTGCCAGATGCAGCAGGACAAACCAACAGCTCTTACCTTGTAATACTGCCCCATGTTGACTGTCGGAGGAGGGTACTGCCCTGTGTTTTGCTGGCTTGGCATCCTCTGTCCAGGATAGTTGGGAGATGTGAGGGGTCTTGGAGGGTTGGGAGTGGGGTACTGACCAGGCTGGTTTGGAAACTGGCTATTTGGTCCATACTGCTGGTTTCCATAATTTGGCTGTTAGGTGAGAGACATGAAAGAAGACAAAGGTCTGTTTCACGCAAGCAGCTGCCTCCAATGGATTATTAGCGCACGTTCAACAGTGGAATCACAACAAACCAACCAACCCTCCAGGTGAATATTCCTCCACTCCGTGCTGCTCATGCCTAACCAAGGCCCTGATGGCTGCAGGTGAATGCTCACTCAGAAGCATGGAAATCCCACAAACCCAAGCGGGGTAAGAATAATCGTGTACCTTAACACACACATACACTCGGCCTTGCTGTGCTGTGGAAGGGCACCGCGTTTGAAGAAACCCCAATTACAACCAGATGCAATGTTCACAAAAACTCTGTGTGGCAGCAAGTGCTACCAGCCCCAAGCCTGGGGCTCCTTTTCCAGACGGAGAATGGAAGGACAAAAAGAAAAAGTAACATTACAAATAAAATAATCCTGGAACGGGCAGAGAACACAAGCTGTGTTGTCCATGTCTGCCTTCTCAACACAGCTGCTAGGCTGGCCTTGTGCTAGAGTGTTTAGCAATACCTTAACAGCTGAAGAGAAGCTATTACTAGTCATAAACACCTTGCTAGCGCTAGCTAGTGCTGTGCTGCAGTTTTGGAATCAAACTCACGAAAATTTGAACTCTAAAGGTAATAAAATGTTAATTTGAAAAAGTAACTGGTTAATAACAAGCTTCCATACAGGAAACTTTCAAAAACTCGTAAGCAAATAGCATCTACGGGATCTGCAGAATTCCAGACCAGCAAGCACGTAACGTTGTGGGCACTGTTCAGCATTGACTTCTTGGGAACATGATCGTGTTTACCTACAAAGAAAACCTGCTTCTAAGGCAGCAAAAAGGGATCTACAGTCTTCCTTAAAATATGAAATCTGAAGATAAAGATCATCTGAACAAGACACATTCTGTGTTTTCTTGACTTCACTGTAGAGTAAGTGGCAGTATTTACAGAGTGAAAAGCCTTCCCAGAGAAGCACTCACATCACTTCTCTTATTTCTGATTCAAAAAACAAGTTTGCAGATCAGCAAAGAAATGTAGCCCAGTAATAAACGTTTGCTATATTTTCTGCATGCCACGGTACTCCTTGCTGTATGTCATCTACAAGCTCTTCCTACCGTTATTGTAGGCAGGGCAGTTATCGTAATACTCCAAGCTCTGCACCTGAAGTTCTAGCCATGGCTGTAGCCTCAGTGTAATAGAGCACTTCACCAGGAGATTAAAGACAGCAAGTGGTGACTAGATTTGTGAAGACATTTAGGTGGATATGGATGCTGAGAGAGAGTTGGTGGAGTTCTCAAGTGTCTGCTGTCCGGTTCACAGCAATCTGAACAGTAAAATGCATTGGTACATTTTAAAATCCAAAAGCTCATCTGCCTACATCTCTGGTTGGCTAAATTGCTTCCGAATTTTGACCCCACACTTTGCCCAAGGTCATCATACAAGTCAATGGCAACATAATTTTGGCTACAAAGCCACTCAGATCTCCTGTAACAGCATGGGAACTTAGACAGAAACACTACACTCCAGCTAAACCTGTATTGGATAAATGCTGACACAGAGGGCTTTGATTTATATTCATCTCCGTGCCTATGAAAATCAAGCCTCAAGAAGTTTGGAAAGCAATTGGTCTTTAAATGTTATTACTACTGGTGTTTATACAGCATATGCCCTGTACTTCTTTAGAACAATAAAACCATTCACAAAATGCAGCTCACATAAGTATTGGGCTCAAATGAAGTATTTCACCTTCAACATCTCTTAAGCTGTCACCCTGAATAAATCCACTCCTGTGAAGGAAGTCTGCTTAAGGTCTATGAACTCATCATCTAGCATCAAATCTTGAAGTGACATTGAGGGCTCAGCTGGTTTTGGGCCTTTTTGATTTTAATGACTGGCATCTTGACTACCATAGCAAGGGCCAACCTGAACCCTTCAGAAGCCAAAAAGGAAGAGCTGCTGCCGCTCGTATTTTACCGGCAGTGTTCCTACCAAGGCTGGAATGTAGATGTACCTATTTCACAGGGATGCACACCACGCGTGACCCAGCACGTTGCAACTTTCAGTCAAAACAGTGTATGCAAAACATAATTTATTACCTCTCCTGGGTACGGTCTCTTGATGCCCTGTATAGGCAGAGACTGGGGGCGCGGGCCTGGGTAGGCTTGCTGAGGCATCCTCTGCCCGTGGGTGCTGAAGGGACTCATTCCAGGAGGCCGAGGCTGGTTCATGCCCATGGGTGGCCCACTCATGCTGGAAGGTGTCATGCCTGCTCCCATGCTTGCTGGGTTCATGTTGCCTGGCATAGAAGCAGGGCCACGAGGACCAGGCTGGTTCATAAACTGGTTGTTGTAAGCCTGAGTTGGACCCATCTGGAAAGAGGAACAAACCTTCAACGGAAGAAGAAGAAAAAAAAAAAAGAATAAAATGCGACATGCATTTAAAATGGGAGGAGGGAGCTGAACATGCTTTTGGGGGAGGGAAGGAGGGGAGGATTTATGTCGCATTTTCCTTCAATGTTGTCCAACATCTGACAGGCGGTGATGGTATTTATAATAAAAGTCCAGTTGGAACTGTATAAGGCATAAGAGAGGAAGACAGACCTAAGCCCTAAGGTGAGCAACTAAACCATTTGAACTGGCCAACGTGTTCCTGTAGGGCACCAGGTTAGGAAGCTGGCTGTGCACATGCAGCACAACACTGCAATGGCTAAGACACTGACTGTGCTCCCATCACCTGGCATACAGGCCCATAAACTTCCAAACTCAGAGATAAAAAAGCTAAGGAGGAAAAAACCTGAACTGATCACACTCTTGTTTATTTTAAGAAAAAATTGTTACAAGGAGCCATGACACGCTGGAGGCTATGGATCCCCAGAAACGCGTGTCTCATAGCTGTTCTCACAGACAGTATTATTTAAAAAAAGGTAATCTCTTTTCCACTGTTGCTTCCTTGTTTAAAGGGAAAAAAACCACCAACCAAACAACTGTAGCTGTCAAAATAAACAATAACAAACATTTCACCAGGTACTCCAGTTCAGAGGTTCACAGGACTGGCAAAGGCAGCAATATACCACGTCATTTTGGGTAATCTTCCATTTTTTTAAGAGGCGATCTCCAAACTACAAAATACAGTCAAGCAGGATTTATGGGGAAAAACACAGGAGACCGACTCACCCCTACATACACACATTCCAGCAGTTTCTCACAAGAATTTATAACCATGCTCATGCACACACACACACAAAAGAAATAGAGGTGGCACCCTAATCAAGAGGGGAGTAGGAAGAGCAGCCCAATTCCCCATAATGGCCCAGCTCCGGCAGTATGAAGACACAGGGGTTACTCTCTTACCGGTCCATACTGGTTCATGTCCTTATTCTGCGTTTCCTGAAGGGCTGCCACCGTGGCTGTAGCTGTAGCTGTGGCTGGAGCCGGTCGCGCGCAGCCGCAGCCGGCTGGGTGAAATCGGCCGGTGGCCTCGTGTGTGGGGGGATCCCCATTCCTGCCGGGGTATTTGGGCCTCCAGGGTAACTAACAGGGAAGGAAGGAAAGACAGACAGACAGAATGAAGACATGCCTGGTGGATTTTGCTGCGAACACTGGTGTGATCCTCATGAGGAACGGTTCCCAAACCACCTCCCAGTGCCTAGTGAAAGCCAGCAGGACAGAGAACTAGGTGTGTAGACGAGACACAAGTGTTGCTCAGGTGCAACAGTCACAGGCCTGCCACCAGGATTGCAAGGCACCACCGTCCATTGTTTCGGGGGCAGCGGACCGCTTTGCACTCTGCACCTTACTGCAAAACTGCACTGAAATCCTGAAAGCTAATGTGTGCTCCCTGCCCCAGTAGCGTAGGGCAGACGGCACAGCAGCACGAACAGAGCGCTTCCCCTGCTACAGCGCATTCATCTGCCCAGTGGTGAATTACGGCAACTATTCCCGATGCTGTCAAAGCATTCCTCCCTGAACCGTAGCTGACAGGCCAGGAGAGACCCAGTGCCATCAGCTGTACTGGATCCCACAGCACATACTCTGCAGTTCCTACTCGGCTGTCCTGGTGATCGTAAGATAAATTAATCTAAACCATGCCTTTCTCACTCCAAGACATCATCGTTATAAACATGGGCCAAGTACACTGTGTCCTTTTCAGAGGGGTAAATGGAGAGCTGAAGAAACTTTCTGACTCGTTCAAGGTCACTCAGTAGATCAGTGGCAGAGATGAAAGCAGAGGGAAGTTTCCCAAGTGCCAGGCTTATATTCTTCACACTAGACTGACAATGCTAACAGCCTTTTCAGCAGGCTTTGCAGAGGGACCATCAACAGTGGTTTCAGTTAAGTGCACTTACACCCTTGTTTACAAAGCGTAGACACAGAAATTCAAAATGTAACAAAACCCAGGCTATTAGTTTTGGCTTGTTTCACTAATGTAGCATTTACTTCCCCAAAATAAATACACAGCTTGACCATCTCTCCTAACAAACATCTTCACCCCTAGCTCTTTTCAAATTC